TACAAGGGTAAGACTTCATTTTAATCTGTTGTGTGATCGCCTTTGTGTACACTACACAAACACATGTAGATCAGGACAAAAATATTTTTTGAAATCAGATTAATGAATGTTGTAGATGTTTGATTTTTAGAATATTATTTGGTAATTTTCTGGTTCTGAGCTGGAAAAACCCCTTGCTTGAAAGGAGCTTTTCCGGGGCAAGGGGAGGGGCTTCCGGTGGCAAAGGCTGGTGGTTATGGGAATGGGATTTCCAGTCCCAAGATGGTGACTGGGGGGCGTGGCACCTGTCAAGAGGCGGGGCTACCTGTGTGGTGCTCAACAGCTTTCCAAAACTTGGTAAGCGGCCCTCTGCCCGAAATAATTGCCCACCCCTGATCTAATTCTATCCAAGCTGTACCTGGACCATCCCCATAGAGCCAGCAGAGGTCAATTGCTTCAGCCCAGGACTACAGGAACCTATTTTACAATAGCTGCTCTGAGCTGAGGTGCCACCAGGAAGATTTTCTCTCCTATACGTCCAGTAATCCCCTTCCTAACATACAGGTAGCACAAAGGAAGAAGCTGAGAATTTGAATGCAAGGGTAGCAAAGATCTGGATCAGGGAGGGAAAAGAGTTGATTGTACCAAAGTTTGGAGAGCTGGGACTTGACAATGAGGACAGAGAAAAAGTGAATGTATGCATGTCTATGTGCGTACTGTCTCTGTCTCTCTTTCTCTCTTTCTCTCTGTCTCTGCTATGTTAAAAGGACATTCTTAAGGTTGGAAAGTAAAGCATGCAAAAATAAGGTAAGGCTAAAATTCAGGTTGTCTGTTCAATATTAAAACGGCTCCCTTAACCTGGTATTACAGTATAATTTTAATGACACTTTTTCTACAGAAACCCTGCCTTATTCAGTGCATAGGGTGGAGAGTGTTTACTTAATGAGTAAGTACCCTATTTACTAGAATAGACATGACCCTGATTATAAGACAACCCCCCATAACAAATATATTATTTATAATTTTCCAGATATAGAATCTAATTACTGGAGGTTTGCCTTGAATTTGTCTCCCGTCCACTATTATAACAATGAAAGTAAGTCTTGGGGGGGATCAGGTAACACTTTGTGCTCTGCGTTTCCCCAACTTTTTCCCTTAGCAGAGCCTTCCTCCTCTTATTACTGTCAGACTCTGCTCTTCCTGAGCACATAGAAGTAAGGAGCAGATTCAAAAACAATAACCTTGAAATTAAACATGGCTGTGGCAATTTGCATATATTACCCATACACTTTTAATACATCCAGAATTGATGCATGTTACCTTTTTTTGAAGCTGCTGCAAATTTTAGCACAGGTGCTCCATTAACACACTTTTGAACTGCATTTTGGCACATATTTTTATATGTAGTATAAACTGCACATGATGTTAGTCCAAAGCCAAAGGCTTGTGATTTACTACATCATTCATTGGGCTGCATCCCATTAGAGCCAACACCATTTCAAGCCATGGTGACCCCACAGCTCAACACTGCTAGGTATGTGTGTATACTCCAGATACCCCCACAAAGGGGTTAATACCTTTGTGCCAATTAGCCCCCACTCATGACTGGAACTGGGTGTTCTTGTCACAAGTTCTGGTGTGCTTCAAAAATATATATGCAGATTCAGATTAGGTGCAGGGCAGCCTAGTCCAGCTTCACTGTTTGGAGAGTGGGGCTACACTAATCATATATGCCAGGCTGAGAGAGGGGGTGACAGGGATTCAGTTAGAGCAGGAGTAGACAAAATATGGGCTGGATTAACTGACCAGGCACTTTCATCTGGCCTGTGGTGCCCCGCAAAGAACTGCGCCCCGCCCAGCCCTTCCACCCTCGCAGGTGGAACAGCTCTGCCCAACAAGCAGCTCCCGGGAAGGGCTCCTGCTTCAGCCAGAACCTGCTCGCTTGGGGCAGCAGGTAGGGAAGTGGCAGGGTTGGCGGGGAGGGGACTTGCAGCTAGGCAGGAGTGCAGTGTGGAGCCTGTGCCCAGAGGGACATAGGGAGTGCAGAGCTCAGATGGGCTGGGTATGGGTGTTGGTGAGGGTAGGGGGGAATAGGGATCCCCCACACACTCCCTCCACAGCATGCAGCCCCAGCTGCCAGCAGCAGCAGCAGACAGGGAGGTCAGGGTGCTTATGCCTGGCACAGGTGCCCGGTGGGGCATGGCTGTGGCCAGCGCTGCATGGGGGGAGGGCCTGGAGCCTGCCCTATTGCTGGGGCTTTGCGCCATGCGCCTGCAGCTCCAGCACTTGCAGTGGGGGAAGCCTCACGCTGGAGCCTGCTGCCTCCCCTCCTCCCTGCTGCACAGGTCCCCACACTCCGCCAGGAATGGATGGAGCCCCACCCCCTGCTTCCCTGTGGAGGCCAGCATGGGGCTTCCCCTGTGGGAATGCAGGAGCTACAGGCATGCAACACAGACATTCCGAGATAGAAGTGTCTGGGCGCGCTGCACGGGGGTGCGCTCCTTGCCACCAGCACAGCGTTGGCTGTTTCTGTTGCAGGGGCTCCATTCCTACAGTTCTGCACTCGCAGCGGGGAAGCCCCATGCTGGACTCTGCTGGGAAGCAGGGGGCAGGGCTCCCTCCACTCCCTGCAGAGTGTGGGGACCTGCGAAGCAGGGAGCAGGGGAGGCAGCAGGTTCCAGTGCAGGGTTTCCCCCGATATGAGTGCTGGAGCTGCAGGCACATGACATGGAGCCCTGTTGATAGGGCAGGCTCTGCTCCCTCCTCCTGTGCTGCGCTGCCCTGAGCCATGCTTGCGCTGACCTCCCTGCCTGTTGCTGCTGCTGCCAGGCAGTGGGGGCTGCATACCATGTGGAAATGTATGGGGGTCCTGACCCCCTCCCCCCCCCCCACAGACCCCCCCCCCCCCCCCCCCCCCACAGACACCCAACACCCTTCTCCCACAACCTCCATCAGTATATACATACACTCCAACATACTCTATGCCCCCTACATAGCCACACTGTCTCACAACTCTACCCCCCCACACACACACACACTAAAAAAGTGACACTTCATTTTTGAGTTATTATGCAATCTCTTTTATATACAGTACACAATCACACGTCATGACAAATATTTTGTAATAAAATTAAAATAGATTATAGTAGGTATTTGACTTACAGTGTATGATTTGTTTTTTTCTGGTTCTAGGATGGAATCCCCCCCTTTCCCCAGGAGTATGGGGGGCAGTGGTTATCAAGGGGAGGGACTTCTGGTGGCAAAAGTCAGGGGTTAGGGGGCAGGACTTCTGGTCCCAGTATAGCAACCAGGGGGCAGGGCAACTGTTAAGGGCTGGGGCTACCTAAGTGGGCCCCAATAGCTCACCAAAACTTGTTAAGCAGCCCTCCACCCAAAATAATTGCCTGCCCGTGTGTTAAAGGATGGTTTCAGGTTGGATGTAAGGAAGAACTTCTTTACAGTAAGGGTGAGCAGAATCTGGAATAGACCTCCCAAGGAGGTGGTGCAGTCCCCAACTTTGGAGGTCTTTAAGAGGAGACTGGACAGACACCTTGCTGGGATCATTTGATCTTGGCAGTATTCTGGCCCAGAGCAGGGGGTTTGGACCCAACAATCTTTCAAGGTCCCTTCCAGCTCTTAATTTCGATGGTATGATGATTTCTGGGTAAACAGTATGCAATATCATGGTTTAAATGACTTGAAAAAGTGTCGACCATGAGGGGGACTCTGCTTGATGGGCACTTGTCAGCAGTGGCAGTGATCTCTCACAGTCAAGGATGATTACTGCCATGAATCAAGTTAAGGGCTGTAGATGAATTTGTTTAGGGCTAAGAAGGGCTATCCTAGAGCCACAGACTTTGACAGCTGCCACAGGTGCTGGTTAAAGGGAAGGTTGGACCACAGATTCCTTGGTCTTATTCCCTTCCATTTCTGTTGTTTTTCTGCTTCTGGGGTGAGAGTTTTCCTCAAAGAAAGATTTACCTTCTTTTGCAAGACATCACTATGTAGCCCTGCCCTGGGTTAGTTTTCCTAACTTCTGTTATCAACGCCACAGTTAATGTTTGCCTTGAGAGTCCTTGAAGCATTTCCATTGGCTTCAGCATTTCTTTTGTCCTTTTCCTTGGCTGTGTTGGGAGTATAGCAGTTGTTTTGGTAAATGTGCATCAGAGATGTCCACTGCAACTGATGTTGAATAATCAGTGTTTCTATGCTGATGGTATTAGCATCGGTAAGGACACTGGCATTTGTGTGTTGATCTTCCCACTTCGAGGTAGCACTGGCATTCCAGGCTTTTCAGGTGGTCTCTGTAGGTCACCCATGCTTCACAGCTATAGAGGAGTTGGGATTACCACTGCCTTATATAGTAGGAGCTTTGTTTGAGTTCTGATGTTGTGATCATTTAGCACATGATGATTTAGTCTTCTGAAGGCAGAGCTGGCATATCAGATCCTCTACTGGATCACCTCATTGATGTTGGCCTTCTTTGAGAGATGGCTTCCAAGGTATGCAGAGTTCTGCTTTCTCCAGCTCCTGTATGTCACTGAGGATCTTTGCCAGGGGAATTGATTGGCTTGGAGAAGGCTGGTGAAGGCCCCTTGTTTATCTGACATTAAGGGTCAGTCCCAGGCACTGGTGTGCTTGAGAGAAGCAGTTAAGGGTCCTCTTTAATGGGCACGTCTACATGTGCGTTAACACACGGTAATAACAGGTACTAACTTAATGCATGATAATTGGCACTACTATACAGTGGTGCCAGTGCACATCTTTTAAGTGATGCTAATGTGCAGTAGACTAATACTGCTGCACATTAGTGCATTAGCATGGCTTTCACTGTGACATGCTAATGTGCAGTAGAATTAGTCTACTGCGCTTTTAGTGTCTCGTGCTGAGTATATACAATGACAGCACAATTATTGGCATACTGAAGTTCTACAGTTGAGGCTGAAGCAACTTTGGTTTTGGCAGGGAGGTAGGAGAAATTTGAAAAGGTTTCCATCCATCCTGTACTAGGTGCTGACGCCATGTGGCAGATGGTCCTGGATGAACATCTTGATGATGGCAACAAAGATAGAAACAGAATTGGTGCGATCATGCAACCCAACTTGACACCAGTTCAAATGGCAAAGGGCTCCGTAGCAGAGACACTGCATAGGATGGAGGCAGTCATCTGGTCATCAAGGAGTCTTAGGAAGGTGATAAGTTTCCTGGGGAAACCAAACTTAGTGCTTGATGGGCACTACCATATGTCTTACTCGATGGGCTGCACCAACCTTTTCTTATGGTAGGTTTCCATTAACATCTTGGTGAAGTTCAAGCATTTTTGGCAGCAAGGGGAAAGTTTCAGAGCTGACTCTGGCCCTTCTGGTACCAGTCAGGTGTCGCAGTACTTTCAGGCCCAGTGCCAATTCCCTGTGGAGGGAATACCCACCCGTTTTTTTAAGGACCAAAACAAAACAAAATGGATCTCATTCTCATTTTGCTCAATGTGGGCCATGTGTTTTATGGTCCTGTTCAGTGAAGACTACATTTAATTAACTTCATAGTTGGTTTCCATTGCTGATGACATGCTGCTTTCGGCAGCAGTTTAGTGATAGACAATGTATTTAGTGAGATTTCCTTGTATCCGATTACAAGGTGAGGGTTTTTTTTCTCCAGGCCACCTGGGAGGAAAAACCTCATCTTGTTCTTGAGTAAATACAGTATTCAGCTTGTAGTCTCACATCTTATTTGCTGTACTCTAGTCAAACCCTACTCTGAAGAGAGAATTATTAATTTGGTATGGTCTTTTCTATGATCTGCATTCAGAGTAGGTGAGTGCTTCCTGAACATTAATTAATTTATTTTTTTTATCAAATCGGAGTTACATGAGGGCCTGTAATTTCCCTTCCACTGGTGGGGAACTGAGGCTCTTAGATTAAACTAAAACAATTTGCTAAGTCTGGACGCCTAATTTGAGGCATTCTGTTGAGCTGAGTTTTGAATGCTCAGCATTCTGTATATGCTTCCGCACAGCTCCCATTGGCTGAGTTTGGTGTCTTACGGCAAAGCAGAGTTTTAAGCAACGTTTTGAAATAGAGTAATGAAGTGATTATGCAACTATCTACAGAAAACTCCTCCCAAGTGTGAGGGGTAGCATAAGAGGTGCTTTTTTGAAAGTGAAGAAGTGAATGACAGAGGCTCACATAAGCTGGCATTTTGATAGTGATTGAGAGAGAGAATAGGGCTAAAGAGAGTTTATGATGAGTCCTGAAATTGAAGATGACATTGGTCTCTTTCATGTCAGAATCTTGCTTTCCACAGAGGAGGTCTGTCCTGAGCACTAAGTCGTGGGTGGGAAGAAATATTATTCTCTGATATAATTAAAGACTATTTCATAATATATATGGACAAGCTTGTTGAATTCATATTCAACAGGCATCCTTAAATCTGGCATTGAATGTAGTTACATGAGCTTGGAGGGTGCTCTGTAACTACAGCGTATTGGAGCAGACTTGATTAATCAAATCTGTTGGAGCATGGTAATTACCACACTCTAGCCAGCCTCCGTGTCTTGTGTATCATTGCCCTTGCATTTTAAAATGGCAGCGGGGGTGCTTTATCTAAAGCTCACTTGACGAGCTTTAGATAAATCACCCCCACCACCATTTTGAAGCTCAGGGATGCTGATACACGAGATGCTGTGGGTACTTTAATTAGAATACTTATTTTATTATAAATTTTTAAATAATACAAAATTCAATACTTTTCAAAAAAATACTATGCATCCATATTCAATGGCGTTATTTGTAACTGCAGATCCCTCCAAAAAATCTGCTACTATATATCTGTGTACAAGCTTATTGATTGTTACAAGACTCAAACTGCACAGAGATTTATATGGAAGGAGGATGTAGTGCCTTGGAATGTTGAATTTAACTGTATTGTCTAAGCTACAAATAATTTGAAAGATTTACCTTTGTTTCTGTTATTTAACTGCACCGCAATGTCTTGTTTCTTTTGGTATAGGATATATTGCAGTGTTGTGTATATAAATTTTTACCAGGGGTTTACACAAAAATATATTTTGTGGCAAAAGCCTGCTGAGCTATGTTTCTTGCTGAGTTTTTAGAATGCCCTTGTCCTGCTAAGTATAATGTACCTTCTTGGTTTACCTCAATAATAGCATATACAGGTGGATTTTGCTATTCAGGAAGAAAACTGCTTTCTAAATAAAGAAGTAACTGCTTGATGCAGAGATTTTCGCAGCTAGTTACTCTTCTTAGTAAATCAGAATTTTAAGTTAAACCCTCTGCAGGTGTCCAATTTTCTCTACGTTCAGTTCCATGTAAATCAAAATCTGTGTTATATTGCAAAGAAAAGAGTGCCTGATTGCTGCAATATTAAAGATTTTTTTAAAAGGACACATCTGTTGATTATGGCAGTAATACTCTAGTTAAGGTTGAGAACCCTCTTCCTTTCTAAGCACCTAATTCTAAGCACCTTATTCAAGCACTTAAGTTTTTGATGAAGACCATTTTGCTGTCCCTGACTATACAAAATGTGAAAAAAACGTGGGAAACAAGTTTTGTTTCAGATGTTCAAACTTATATAGTGGATATAATGCTCAGTAAAAAATATATGAGAAATAGTGATGTGTTTCAAAGTCAGCAACATGAATGTTGAGTCCATCATCTTTCATTGCTGTTGATAATGATTAGTAGAGAATCAAAAATGGCCCTTTTCATTAAAAAAAAAAAATCAGTGGAAGGCTCTGAATGCTGAAGCAAATGCATATTAGTCGCTAGGAAATGCCTGTTGACTGTAATGGCACTGCTGATATGGGTAAAATTATGCAGATACTTCATTATACGATAGTTTCAAGATCTAATTAAAAAATAAACCAACAGGAAAATAAGATAAGAGCAGGTAAGGCCGAAGGTGAAAAGGAATTATGTGTACTTAAATATGTGATACGTGCATTTGAAATGTTTTGTTGTTTTCTGGTTTTGGATAAGTTGTGGTCTGACGATCATACTACATAAGAATCTGCCAAATTGCATAACTCCAGATATAAGTATCTGCATGAAGAAAGATAAAAACAGATGATTATTTATTGCTGTGTGTGACTCCACATTCGAGTGTAGAGTTTTTCACTTGAGTCTTGATATCATGCATGTGTATTCTTGAAATATATTGATTTGAATTATGACCAGTCAATGTTCTCTCAAAACAACAGCAAGGAAATTGACTACCAAAGTGCTACAATAATAAGTTGTATTTTGGATGAGATTTTTTTCAGTTCAGAATTGTGATTTGTACATGTAACTATAATAGTGATATGTATAAAGTACAGCGTAAGAAAGACATTTGGTTCTCATGTAACCTGTAACTACATAAATAATAATAGCTCCCTGATTTTTGAGTGTTTAAAATGCAATTCACACACTTTCTGTGTTATATTCAGTTTATATTATTTTGGACCTGCCTGTAATTGTAATTAGTCTGTGATACTTAAATATCTATATTGCATACGATTACACTGAGGACAAGTGCACTTTTTATTTAAATGCATGACTTTGAGGATAAATAAATGCTATCTTGTTACTGCATATTTTTGAGTTAGCGTTGTTATCCTTTACATTTAGTTTATGAACAACTTTTTCTGTATGGAAAATATCTTATTTGGACTTCTTGTTTACATTAATAATGCAGTTCTAGGCAGGTTCAAGATGCTGGTTAACCTTTGAAATGTATTACTTGCCTGGTGCTTAAGAGAGATAGATGACGAAGAAGTACATATTAGAGCCTCTCAAAACACAGGATCATCAATCTTCAAGTAGCTTGGCTTCATGCAGTGCACTGCTATCCTGGGTGTACAAAGCATATCTACAGCAGCTCATAGAAGCTTGATGCATCCAGCCTCTTATTTTTGCAGACTCTCAGAGGAAATGTCAATTGGACGTTACCGACTGCCTGTGCTTTGCCTTAATATCTCTTCAATAATTTAATATATTGTCTGACTCTGTGCTGAATTCATACTCCATCACTTACCATTTTACTGATTGATGTCTTTGCCCGTGGAATCTAAATCTATGCTTTGAAACCCTACTGCTTACAATATAATAATTCTGTTTGGTCACATGGGTAATTAAAAGCATAAATTTCTGTTGAATAACATAGTTATAAAAATGCTTTGGGTTCTCTCTTTCTAATGGAAGTCCTTTAATTACTTTGTTCTAAATTTGGAAGTTCTGTATTCCCAATTCTGACATTAAAAATTATAATACCAGTGAATAATGTATGTATTTTTAATTTGAGCTTCCAGAAAGTAAAATCAGTCTGTTAACATTAGAGTTCCTATTAACTCTTTGAAGTCATAAATACTCCTAGATTCTATTAATGAATTTCTGCAGTAAACAATACATATAACTCATTCTTTTTTCAGGAACAATATACTATTTTGTGAGCTAACTTAGCATGAGTGATTCTATAAGTTTAAGAAATTTAAACACAATTGCAAAATATCTGTTACTTAATGACTAAGGGCTATATTCTGCTCAGTCCTGCTTATGAAAGTAATCCTAACTTGCTTACTTCAGTGGAGTTATATATGTAAATTAAGATTTGCAAGGTTGTGGTGCAGATACTTCACTGATTTACACCTCATGTAAGTCAGTTTTGGGAGATAAATATTGGCTTATGATTTGGACCTGCATATTTTAAATGAACACTGTCAACTCATAAAACATCATAGTTAGCATTTCACTTGCTTTTACACGTTATAACAAAATTGTTATCCAGAAGACATACGTGCACAAGTATGTATGCGTGCACGCGCCCCCCCCCCCCCCCCACACACACATTCTATTCTAATAAAGGGCTTAGTCCATCTGTCTGTCTGTAATGTTCTTGGAGCACTCTGATTGGTTACTAAAACCAATCAGAGTGCTCCAAGAGTGTTATAGACAGGAGGTGGCAGCAGTGGCGGAGTGTTGCCATGGCGGTGGGGACAGAGGGCACAGAGCAGGGGGGCGAGGCCAGTGGTCCTGGCTTCATCCGGCCTTGCTCCTTGAAAGTGGTGACAGCATGGGGTGCTGGCAGAGGAGGCTGGAGGGGATGGTGGGGCAAGCTTCCTTCCTCCCCCTGCTCCTGGAGATGGCAGCGGTGGGGGGGAGGGGGGGTGGTTTAGGGTTAGCATGCTTTCACCCCCCGTCCCTCCATCATTCTTGACGGGCAATTTGCTAGTGCAAACATATTTTCCCTTATATTTTTAATTTGTTCACTTACTGCTTGTGACAGAATATTCATTTTTTCCCAGAATAGTTGGTCAGTTTTCTTGTGTGTCTATGCTGGTTTTTCGCAGAACAATACAGGACCATGAAGGTAGCAGGGAAACTCTGAAATAGATACAGCACCTGATACTGCTAACTTACCCTTTTAAAATTAACTAGAATTCAGATTGGCTGTCTCTTTTCATTTGAGCCCTTCAATAAAGTGCATAATAACCAGACCAAAGGAATGGTTATTCATTGGTGAGCAGTGTATGCTTTACCGATTTATTTTATGTCCCTACTTTGTTAACCGTACCTACCTTAGCATAGATTCTCTACACAGCATTTCATAATTTCATAGGCATGAAATTACCTATCTTTTAGGTGAATGTTACACAAAGACATACAGTGATAATATAGGTTAGTTGAGCTATTATTTCCATCTTGGATATAATAACCGTTGTAATTTGAACTGGAATATTTATTTTTTTTATGTACAGGATGAAGATGGGGTGGACGAGGACAGCAGTAGAGTTGAGCCAGTTGGACATGCAGATACTGGTTTGGAAAATGCAACAAATTTTTCCCTGGAGTAAGTTGCTGGATATAATTGCATTTTTAATGTTTAAGAATCCAGATAAAGTAGCAAAGAACTCTTATGAATGAGCAAGAACACACAAAAATGCATTTTTATTTGGAACTGCTCATAAGACCTTTTGCCCATTGAACCAATAAGAGCTCTTCACCTGTTCTGAAAATCATTATAGTAGAGATGTCACAGCATTGAACAGAATATCTTCATATCTGTGGTGAAGTAGGAACTGGAAAATTTTCTACCTTCATAGAAGATAGAGTGAAAGGGGATTGGGCTCAACTGGCTCTCTAGAAAATAGCGGTTGGATGTAAAAGACATAACTCCCCACAATTCATAAAAGAGTTCAGAGGAAAAGTTTTCTGTGGCAATCTCAAATGTGGAAGGCCTACCCAAACGAGCAAAACTCCAAGCTCAACTCACTTTTCTGTTTTGCAACTATCTTGAAGCTGCTCTGTCCTGTAGGAAAGGTTCAGCCAATTAGGATTTCACAGTGAAACCTGAAATGGAGCAAGTTTGGCCTTTTGAGTTTCATTTCAAAGAGAATACCCCAGACCACATTCTGATATTGATTAGGACATGGCCTGTAATGCTTTTAAATTTTTTACGTTTGTCCTTTTATCGGTAGAAATACTGATTAGTGTAGGTATTAAAAATAGTGAATTAAGTGTATGATAAGCACAAGAGTACGGTATTAAAATTTAATCTGTTACATATATTAACAAATACTGTAATGCTGGCCACGTCTGCACAATATGCCGACTGTGCAGTAACATTACTGCGCAGTAGCGTCATGTGACGAAAAACATGACACGACACTACCGTTCAGTCTTTGGCTACTGCGCAGTAGTGTCAGAAAAGAAGCATGTGGGCGCTACTGCCCAGTAACTCGTGTGACTGTTTATTTAAGTACCAAATGACTGCACAGTAAAAACTGTGGAGTCAGTGTCTTATGCATATACGGCTACTGTGAATTAAAAGTGCTGTTTCTTAATTGGAGTATGTAAAATATGCATCAAATTTAATGCCTCTTGTTTTTATTTTTGAATTGATTTTTATATGGACATTTTATCATGTGTTCCCTTTTTTTTTCTTTTGTTTTTTTTTTTTTTATATCACATCTCTTCTGTACACTTACAGGCAAAACTCATAAATTCAGAAGCGTGTAGTGGGAGCTTTTCTTAGTATTGTTGGAGGGCTTGCACAGGCACATGGGGAAGTCAGATTTAGGAGCAAAATTAGAATGACCTCTGCTTGGATGGTTTGGTACACAGCAAAGAACATTGAAAGCCACTTAGAATGGATTGATTAGGACAGGGCAGATTTCTTTCCAGACCCATTTTAGGGAGCTAAACAGTAGTAGCAGCAGAAGCTCTTCCTTAAGCTAAATTGAATGTGTGGCAAAAAGGATGCCTGCCCTAGTGCAAGCATAGAATAAGCCAAAGAAAAATAGATTCAGTTATGATCTAAATAAGTCAGTTTTCATTCTTTAGGTGTCCTTTTAGTAGATTCTATGTAATTTAATGCCCTTCATGAATGTTCTAGTTTCATCAAATTGATCACAGTTACGGTTCTCTGCCCTCATCTCATTTGCTTAAAAGAAAACTGAGACCAAATGGAAAGAAAAAGTGCCCTTTGGAATAGGGATGTGTAGAGCAGAGATGAAGAACAAAAGGCATCTCTTAGAATGCTTTCAGGACTTGAACAAAATTAGTTGGTTCCTGAGAGTCGTTTTGTGCAGCACAGTGAAAACCTCTGACTAATGAGCAGTGAGACTCAAAAAAACAGAAAAAAAAAAAAAAAAAGAAAAAAAAAGTTAGTGTGCCTGAAGACTGTGGAGGAAAATAACATTGGATACTCTAATGCTGTTAACTAAGTGGTTTGTTTCCCTGTATCTGTAAAACTGTATTCAGTTTTCATCATCCTATCCCAAACAAAGTACAGGAGACATGGAAGAGCTATAGGGATGGGTAATAAAAACAAAGTATGGAAGAACTTTTCACAGGAGTAATTGGGAAGATGAGGATAGGCTTGATTGGACAACAAAATGTGTAAAAGGAAGAATAATTGTGTGCAAAATATAAAGCAACCAATTGCAGACAAGTGCAAGGAAAAAACACCCTCACTGGCAGGCTGTTCAATTATCCATAATTGTCAGTTTTGGAGTTTCTTATGCTGTCCTCTAAATGATGTGATACTGACTCCTGTCAAACGCAGTATTCTGGATAAAATGATTGTAATTTGGTATGGCAGTTCTGGATCTGATCCAGAAATGTTGATGCAAGCGGGCAATCTCTTATTGATATCAGTTAGTATTGGATTTGGCCCTGTGTTCCTGTGCAGATTATGGAGATGTAATCTTGGTGTGCTCTCTGGAGGCAAGCCACTTATCAAATGTACCATATATAGTATTGGATAATATTCCAAATGTGTGCTGCACTACTGGTGGGCATAAACCACAAAATCAGATTTGAGTCCAGACCTGAGATTTCCCAAAGTTGTCGTATATGGATGAGGGGGGGTTGGCTTAATCCATCTGTGGCTTGTAGCTGTATGGCTTTTTGGATCCTAGTTTAATTTTTCCTTGGGGGGGGTGGATAAACAAAAGCAGGTAGGGAGTGTTGCTTAAGGCGTATTGCTTCTCAGCCTCTTCGAGGCTAAAATAAAGTATAGTGATATCAGTATAACTTTTTTCTGAGCTCATATTTTTATTTAACTATCTTTTCATAGTTCTCTTTTAAAAGCAAATAGCAAAAATGAGAACCAAATCTGCCCCTTTGCTTTGGAAAGGTGAGTTGAGAGTTTAATTTGAAGAGCCAGAATTAAGGATCTATATACACATAAGAGAAATAATTGTAATAAACTTACTATATAAAGAAGTAGAAATTTAAACCATGAAATGTTCTTCATATACCAAAAAGCAAAGGGATCAATTTAAAAATGCAAATGGCCCTCAAATCGATTGATCCATGAGGTAATAAAGACTGGAGTAGACTATCTATTGGATAGTTGAATAAAGTATGATAAAGACATTAACAGCCTTTACAGCTTTTACGGAAAATTGATTATGTTCAATATTTACATATTTTGGCTGTTACAGTACAGTCCAAAAAGTGCATTTCATACTGCTCTGAAGCATCTTTGATACAAAAATTAAAAAAAGAAATATTTAAAAATATATATACTAGTAACCTAAGGAAAAGAAAAACAATGAAAACTTTATCATTATTTTGCATAACACCAAGTCATATAGCAGATTAAATTTACTTAAAACTTTAGATCATTTTCATTTGTTTTATTAACAAAATTATTTTTGATGATTGATTTCGTTTCATGCCATCAGACTAATATTCAGGTATGTAGTGTTTAACATTGCTTTCATCACCATTACTTAAGTTCTGGAATATGTTCTGTTTTTGTGTATGTGCGTTTATGTGGGTTTTTTTGGTTCATTTACGGTACATGTTCATGTTCCCTCATTCATCATTGTCTCACAGTGATATGGTAAAGCTCGTAGAAGTCTCCAACGACGGTGGGCCTCTGGGAATCCATGTAGTGCCTTTCAGTGCCCGAGGCGGAAGGTAATGTATTGTGTAGGATTTTAATTGAATCATAACTTGCTGTGTTTTATCTTACGCTAACACTTGTGTAGTTGCCATTATATTTGTTTGAAATACAGCATAGTGTTTAGGACAAATTTTTGCTGATTAAATAAATATATCTCACCTCACATTGGTACAAAGGCTCTATTTATTATGAAGTAGAGTAGCAGAATCTGACAATTTATTGTAGACAGTGTATTGTGATATCATGGAGTTACAAGGGTATGGACTATATCATAGTTATATTATTCCTTTTAATTCAGTCTAATTTTATGTATCATTTTCCTTCTGGATCTGTACAGTCATAATTTTCCAAAGTACAGTTTTCTATAATATCTATCTTTACATCTATGTGTATCTTATAAGCTACATTGGGTGCATCTACACATCGCCCTACAGCGACGTAGTGGTGTGCTGTGTCACTGTACAGTGTGCACGAAAACATAGAGGTCATGTGGGTCTACAGGTGATGGCCAGCAACGTCGCGGTAGTGATGCGCTCCCCTGGTATAGAATGCCGCTATGGCAACCTAGTGGCAAACTGTAATCGTGTGCCATGCGCACAACACAGTAAACACCCATACTGCACTATGCTTTAGTACTTCCAAAAGGAAGTACAGTGACGTGTAGATGCGACTGCTGAAAGAAAAATATACTATATACTATTTGTGGTACTGAAGAGTGTCCTCTTTTAAAAAGGTAAAAAGATAGATGTATGGAATGGGTTTTGAGATGTAAGAGCCTGTTGTCAGAGAATATGAGCATTTTTTAAACTGCATTTTTGCCAAAAAGCAAGAATTCCTGAAGTTAAAGTGCCAGAAAAAATTGTAGTACAGGTGATTTACATTCAAATACAGGTTTCCCTCAATTTATGCGGGTTCTTTGTATGTGAATTCACTCTTATGTGATGACCCTTTTTATATCCCAAATTAGTTATGCAAGGTAAATTCACTCTTATGTGGTCAGCTCTGGGGCTCTGCTTGTTCCCACTCACTTGAGCCCCTGGGCTGCACTGTGCCATGGTGCAGGCAGGTGGTGTTGGCTGCTCCTGGGACTGCTGCAACAGGGGGCGGGGGTGAGTAGGGACAAGCGGAGGCCCGGGGCTTAGTGAGGTAAGTCTGTAGGGGAAGGGGGGGGGGGGCATGGCACAGTACATAGGCTGCTCCTGGAGGTGCAGCAGGGAGCAAAGCAGAGAAAACTGAGTGGGTGCAGGGCGCGGGATGGGGGAGTGCAGCTCTTGCTGCTACCTGCACCCCGGGAGGGCTGTAGGCTGGGGGGGCTGTGCCAGGCTGTTCCTGGTGGTAGTGCTGGGAGGGCAGGTGGTGGGGGGCTACAGTGAATTATGGGGTAGCAGCAGCCCCCCTCCTATTGCTGCGGCCTGCCCCCAGTGTTGGGCAGAGTCCAGTGCCGCCCTTGGCCCCAGCCTGCAGCGGCAGCCTGCTTTCCTCCTGCGTGCAGATCTGGGGGCAAGGGCCCCCCAGGAAGAGCTTGGCACAGCCCCCTAGCCTGCAGCCCTCCTGGGGTGCGCATAGCAGCAAGAGCTGCACCCCTATGTCCCGGGCCCTGAACCCACTCAGTTTTCTCTGCTTTGCTCCCTGCTGCAGCCCTGGGAGTGGTCCACAGGCTGCACTGCACCGCTTCTCCCACCCCTTCCCTAGTCCCAGCCTTCCTCCCTCCCTCCCTCCCTCCCCACCGTGGGAGCGTATCCTTATTTCTTACATTGTAAACCGAGTTTCTTTTATGCAAATTCAATTCATGCACAGTTTTCCGGGAACGCATGTACCGCATAAATCGAGGGAAACCTGTACCATTTTTGAGATTGTTAGTAAACAGACCACTACATTTATAAATGCAAGCTTTGCTAAAGTGAGACATTAGTATTTACTATCCTTAATCAAAACATTAATATATTCTGAGGAAAACCGTGTTACTTCTGCGGCAATTATTCTTTATTGTGTTGGATTTAAAGCTTTTAGGTGTGCTGAAAAAGAGATAATCCTTCAAGTATATAACTTGGAATTTATTCTGCGGAAGAAGATTATCTTTGAACTTAATTGCATTCACTATTTCTGCTCTTTAAGGGAAAAAAGGGACTAAAATATGTATTTAAAGAATGTAATCTTGCATTACTTTTTGAAAGTATATTATGTTCTTTACAAGTCTACCTAGCCAGTAGCAATTTCAGTTTAAATTGATTAAAGTGAGTATCGTTTACTGTATATCAAATATTTATATCAGCTGCTTTTCATACACTACTATGTTTTTCTTTCTATATTGCATACCTATTGATGTGATGTAAAAACTTTACTTCTGGTTACTATTTTAAGCTAGTAGTGCTTCAGTAGCCACACTGACATGTAGTAGTATGACAAAGCTATTCATTTTGGTGAACTTAAGACAGTTTTCCCTAAGGACTCCAGGAAGGAAAAACAAGCTGCCATAATATGGTGACTGTCTCCTCCCATGAGTGACTTGATGTTCAATGAGTTCAGTCAGTAGGATATGAGTGAGTAGCATTTCAATCACAATTTGACAAATAAAGGTGGTAGGTTGTGGTGAGTTTTGACCTTTTATACAGGTTGCTGTTCTGTGGCCACCTTAAGTGAAAAGAGAGGACCAGTTGGCTACTTCCTTTTCGCTGTTTAGTTTAATAAAGGTTTAATTTTTTTTTTTAAACATTCAAAGGAGTACTCTAGGGCCTCCTCCTACATGTTTACAGATATGGTGCAGTTAACTGAAACCAGCTACGTGTGCGAAGTAGCTATCATGTGTATTTAACTTTTAGTTTTCATTTACATTTGTAGCAGGGTCTCCCCTCCGCTGTGGCAGCTGCATCTCTCAGCCATGGGGTTGTATGGGGTGTCCCCGCAGCTGAAAGCCCCTTAGCTGAGGGGCTGCTACTTGTGGGAGCTTGCTTTTTGCTGATGCAGGGAGAGCCCAGGATTAGGTGTAATGGGTCTATTGTGCGATCCCGCAATCGCACCTTCTGCCATGCATGTGTGGCATGGCAGGAAAACACAGTTGATTGGATTGCACATTAGATCACCTTATGCCTTTACCTGCATGAGTAGAGGGGCCTTAGATCTCTAAAATTCATAAGGATTTTTCTTTAATAGGGGAAGAGGCACTAGAACTACAAAACAGTATCAGTTGTAAAAACCACAAGTTTAGTACTTAATTTGTACCTACTAAAAATAGATGACATATTTGTCAATTACAAGCTGCTGCGTGGTTACTTGTGAAAGATATTGCTACCCTATAATATGAGCAATACTAATGAAAGTTATATATTTAATTTGGCTTTTCAACCTACTAAATTTTTTATTATCTTAAGCTATTAACACTATACCCATGTAAATCTGTCTTTGAAATTGAAGTGTATTGGAGATATTTTCCTTGTAACACTGAGTTTTATATGATATTTTAGTTGTATGAGATTTGTATAATAAAAACATTGCAATCTTGCAAGTCTTGCAAGCCTGACCTTGATATCTGGAAAGATCATGGAACAAGATCCCAAGGAATCTGTTATGAAACACCTAGAAAAAGAGTAAGGAAATCAGGAACAGCCACCATGGGTTCACCAAAAGCAAGTCATGCTAGACCAACTTTATTTCCTTTGATGATAAAGGGATGGGGTCTGTGGATGAGAGGAGAGCAGTAGATGTGTTCTACCTTGACTATAGCAAGGCTTTTGATGCTGTCTCTCCCAATGTTCTCATTAACAAACTAAGGAAATACAGACTAGATTAAAGTACTATAAAGTATAGAATCATAGAAAATTAGGGTTGTAAGAGACCTCAGGAGGTCATCTAGTCCAACCCCTTACTCAAAGCAGGACTGTATCCAAATAAATCATCCCAGCCAAGGCTTTGTCTAGCCAGGTCTTAAAGACCCCCAATAATAGAGGTTCTACAACCTCTCTGGGTAACCTGTTTTCTGTGGCATAGAGCAAGTACTGCTAGAAAGACAAAATGTACAGGAAGTGTGGCATCCCAAGGAACAATCTGGGTAGGCAGCAAGAACTTCCTGGTGCTGCAGGACAGCAACAAAGGTAGACACCAGACTCTTGCAGGGATAGTAGTAAGGCTGACACTTCTTTACTGTAAACAGGTCTTTATATAAGTTCCAGTAAATACCACTGTTTCCACACCTCATCAACGTACTACAGATTATATGTAGCATCTTATTCACTCTTAGTCAGCTCTTCAGTCAAAAGCTACCGCTTCACCAGCATCTGAGAGTGTTAGCACTAGACTCTGCCTCTGCTCTTTGCAGCCTTAGGGAGAGGTGATAGCCATCTTGGGGGCCATGAGTCATAGGCTAGAGACAGACATTCAAAAAGCCTGAGCATGAATTAATTCAATCTTTGCAGGTTAGTCTAACCTCCATAGATTAAACCAATTTGCAAGTGAATAGACATTCACTTTTGATTCTGGAAATGGAGGCACATGTCTGTAGTGGCTCAGGTTAGAAGCTGGGGTGGGGAGGCACTAGAGCGGGCCCTCCTTTTCCTTTGCAGCAGCCACAAGGCTGGAGGGAAGCTGACCTGGGGACCGTGACCAAGCCCCATGGCAGGCTGCTAAGTATGATTGGGGATGGGGTTTAAACACCCCCCCTCTGGTCTGTAGGGACCCCAGCTGGGGTGTTTCTGGAGAAGCAGCCCTTGCCAGGCTTGTCCTGGGGAAGAGATGGGGACATGGCCAGACAAGCAAAGCAGCACATCAAGAGCAGCACATCAAGCAAAGGGGGACAGGGAAGAGGATTAAATTCCCCTCTCAGGCATGGGCAAGGGATCTTTGTGGCTCTCCCCTCTGCTTGCCTTTGGCATGGTGGGGGGCCTGGCCAGAGCTGGCCAGCATGACCCCGTCACTGGCCTCGGGGTGAGCCTGGGGCTGCAGGCCTGGGGCTGGGGCTACAGCTGTGGGGCTGAGCCAGGCCAGCCTGCGGGTACTGCTGAGGGCAGGCATGAAGCAGAAG